TCAGACAGCTCGATGAGCCAAAGCGAGGAGGGCTTCGCTCATGGGCGGCGTGGCACAGTGGCAACACTCGGCGCCTCGCAGAAAAGGAGCGCCAGGGTTACATTCCCATCCCTGGGGGGGCGGGGGGGGGCGCTCCTATCCACGTGGAGTTTGCGTGTTCCTCGCCGCCCCCCCACCCCGGTCTGCGTGGGGTTAACCTGCGGAAGGCTCCCCCCGCAGCTTCTGCCCATGGCTGAAACGGAACGGTACGACGTAAGAAGTGTTCGTGCCCAGAAATATCCACAATGCCGAAAGCATTTTACCTGCATACAGTATTACTCGATTTAGATCGCGCGCACACACACACAGCAAGCAGCATCGCTCCCCCGACTGCGACAAACGTGTTTACTTGGGCTTGTTTTGGTAAACAGGCGTACTAATGTTATTGTAATCGATTGAGCCGTGCAATTCTTATTCATCACAAAGTGACATTTCTATTAAGGGTTGATGACCCAAGCGGTAGCACGAAAATGAATGCATCCTTTATACGAACATTGATTTTAAACAGCAATCTTCATACAATGCCCATTGGACAAAATAAAGGATTTCATTGATTCCAGAACCGACTTTTTAACACCTCGCGGCGAATGGTAGTGCCCCTTCTAGCGGCCGTAACAGCGCCGCGAACCCATTTACATACATCGTATATACGAACGGGGAAACGTCGATTCCAACGTACGCGATTGAGTGCGCGTGTCGCGAGCTCAAGCATCCAACTTGCTTCGTCTTTTTTAAATCCTTTATATTAAGTTCGCTTGCTTGCTTAGGACCGTCCAAATCTTTCGGTCGTTTTTTAACCCACTTCCCGTGATCCAATCGAGCTGACTTTTGCACACAGACTCCACCGACGCCGACGCCACAAATGTTACCCAACGTATTGTTGTATCCTCTCGTAAACTCAACTCCGTACGCGCACGCGGGTGCATCACGCCGGACGGTACGCGGTACCGCGCACGCGGTCTCTTGGCGCAACCGCGCGATTGTGCGCATGTGTAGAGAAGTTCCGACGGACGTACTCGTAGACGGAGGTAATTTAAGGGCTTCCACCAGAGTTTATTAAAGCTTATCAATATTACACAGGGTACACAACTCCCAGGGGCTAGGGGTCCTACTGTGAGTCCGGGTCCCTGCCGGCTAGCTCCGGTCTCTCTCTCTCTCTCGTGTCGGATCGTGAACTCTGCTGACTCCACCGAGCGGAGAGAGAAGCACCTCTACGGCTACCACCGGCTTCTCCCCAGACTCCCTATTCGATCCCTCTCTCTACCCACTGGTTCCCTCTTCAACCTGCTTACTCTACCCGTTCCCACGGTGACCCCGCTTACGTCACGGGGTCTCCCTTAAGTACTCTAGGAGACGTGACGTCATCGCACTGAACGGCACACCTGACGTCACGTCCCCATTTTACTCCTCTACACTTGGTACGTGCCGCGAATATGTCGTGCACGCTGAACGAACTAAGAACGACGGGAAATTAGATTCCATCTCCCCCCACTGGGAGATTCGATTTTGTAAGCCTGCTATCAAGAAGGAGCATTGCCCGAAATGTTGGCAAATGTGCCGAGCGTTTATTAACCATTGCCAACGCAGTCAAATTATTTATTTCATTAAATACTCTTCTGCGGTAAATGGAGCAGCCTCTAGTGGCTGCCGGTATCATCTTCTTGGAAAGAACCAAGAAGATGAATCCCTGCAGTCACGAAAGCTTTAAATCGAAATTTAACTGCCGGTATCATGCGGACCCATCACACGCTCATCCAAAACCCACGTATTCGTACACGCACCACTCCCTCCATGCGTGCATCGTGAACTCGTATTAATAGACGTGGCAATGCGGTGGCAGCTCCCCTGCTAATCATTACTGTCACTAAATGGGTACTTTTCATTCAAATATCAAAATGGCTTTTGTTCAAACCAAGGCAATCGCAGGCTGGGTTTGACCTCATTAAGTCACTGCACCGACAACTGTTATATTGAGTTTTTTTTTTTCTAGATTTGAAGCTTTCGTGACTGCAAGGATTGATACTCTTAGGTTTTTTCGGTGAAGTCACGTAGAAGGGAAATAATAAAATAATAAAAATAATAAAAATAAAACACAATAAAATAATTCTCACGACGTTTCGGCCACAACGCAAGCAGCCGTCCTCAGGTGAAGAACAGGTCTGTCGAGACGACAGGTGAAGAACAGGTCTGTCGAGAAGACAGAGTCTTCACCTGAGGACGGCTGCTTGCGTTGTGGCCGAAACGTCATGAGAATGATTTTATTATGTTTAATTTGTATTATTTATTATTTCCCTTCTACGTGACTTTACCGAAAGAACCAAGAAGATAAACCCCCACGACGACGCCTGACAACGCTTTGTGCCAAAGCCCTCACCCGGCAGAGGATTGACAAAAGGACTGCCAAGGTAACGCTGGTGAACACCGTTGACGCGGAGCGCGTGAGTGACGGCGCCGGCCAGGGCTGGATCGCAGCCACAGATTGTCCTTGCACGTGGAGATATGAAATTAATACCCGTCCCTTTCATACTCCCCCAACTGGGAAAATGAGAGCAAAGTATGTAATCGCGTTGAAAAAAGTATAGGGATTACGAGCGGTAAATATAGGACAGTTAGCGTGCGTCCGTATGCGAAGGCTTTTGTAGAATCGGCAACAAGAAAGTGCTTCGATTGAAGATATGACTTCTTTCAAGTTATAAAATTGCAACGATAATAATACCGCCAATGATTTTCCGAGGAAATCCTCTTCGAGTGTTAATACCCCCTTTCCAGCAAGGCCCTACCAACCCAAGCACGTGAAATGTGCATTCCACTGCTTCCAGCAAGAGCCTCCACCGTGGGAGTAGTTTCGCCTACTCTTCAATGCTGGCCAGACGCCTCAGCAGAGATGGGAGTGTACCCACACTTTACCCCACCGCCACGCTCTCGACCTGCCGAACAACTTGCCAGAGGGTTGCACCCATTCACGCTACCGGGTGGACGAAGGGAGGGATGTGTAACGAACCTGCGGCACCCTATCGATTGCCGCGCGCCGGGAGATCAAATCGAACCGGGGCGCCCTCCCTGGATTACGAGTCCAGTGCGCGAACCATTACTGGCGCAGCGTCACATTACGCAGCACGGTGCGTTGTCTTGCACGACGGCACGGAGCGAGCACGGAATGCAGTAACCCCGGCACGGAGCTTATAACCCCCACACACACTCACTAACGCTCCGCTTTGCGCGCTGTCGCAACCGACGGCGACTTCGAGCGCTCGCGGCGATTCACAAATCGGCGCGAGTCACCGACCGCAGCGCGTTTCGCCGACCACGAACCGCCGCCCTCCTCCGCCAGCGAGAGAGGAGCCCAAAAGTAAACACGGGGGGGGCGAGGTGTAAAAAATAAATCGCACACGCCCCTCTCGAGCGGTGAGTCAGCTCCGCAGGTCGAGAGGAGACCTCTCCGCGGCTCTCCGCGTCGTCGTCGCACGGATGAGCGCCCGTGCCCCGCGCGGGATCCTGCGTGACTCACCCAGCGGCTTGGTGGCCGCCCCCCCCACCTTCCCGTGCTTGCGCGCAGGTGAACACGCGGACCCGCGCGCCAAACGTGGGCACGGCCCCGCCGCCGCCAACAGTCCACGGCGGTCGTGCCGCGGCCGCACGTCGTGTTGGTCGGGCGCCGTGACACGTCGACACGTGGTTGCGGGCTGGGTACGAGCACAATCCCAGGCAGCAAGTGTGCCGAGTGGGATCCTTGAGGTGAAGTGGCGATGTCTGCCGAGACTCGAGAGAGCAAGCAGCGAATCGCCACGGGGATGTGAGCACCGCACGGCTGCTCGGATCTCAAGTGGGTGTGCCCGTGCCACAAGTTGCCTTTTGCATTCCTCCCCGCCAGCGTGATGCATAGACGCGTGGCAAGTGTCATCAGAGGCTGGGCTCGTATACCAGCGTAGAACTGCTGAAATAATGTATACACTTGATTTACTCGTAGAAGCTGATAATCAAGTTTAAGGGTTTAGCGAGGGTCATTGAATGTTTGGTCAATTTAATTTTAAGTAAGCAGCGTTTTGACTCGAGGTTGACAAAAGTTCCTGGAGGATGCTCAAGGTTAAATGCCAACGTCCGATGGGACTCGGACAGCCAGACCACGTCACCACTAGGGTTCATAGGGTTCAGCGTTCATAACCGAGACCCACACAGGGGCAGTGGGCACAGTAGTGCAGTTTAGAAGCAGAATCTTTCATACTGGAGAAATCCAATAAGCTATAAAGCTCTTCGTCAGATGTCCAGTGGGCGCGGGTCAGAAAGTTACCACAATAAGCAACCCCACAAATAACCCCATCGGACTGCAAAGTAAAGAACAGGGGAGGAAAGCAAATCGCTAAAAATAAATACGTAAAATAGACGAAGCATGTAAGTTCAAACCGGCCCATGATAACATGGGTCCTGGTGCAAGGGATGCAAGGGGGGGGGTTGGGAGTGGGCACAGGGGCACTCTCTGTGTGATGGGGTGGAGGGTCCGATGTGACCCTCCTCTCCGTGAACCGGCGCTTGTGTCCCTCCGGCCTCGGGGCAGTTGCACCGCCTGCCAGAGGTCGCAATCGGGTACCCGATACCCGTAACCTACTCGATACCCGGCTTCCCGTACCCGGCCAGGTACGGGTACGGGTACCCGTTTGCGACCCTGGTGCGGCCGGGTACGGGTACGGGTAGACCGTGAGTCACTGGTGAGTAACCGTTTGTCACTCATTTCGGGTAGGGTACGGGTACGGGTAAGGAACGGGTACCCATTTGCGACCCTGGTGCGGCCGGGTACGGGTACGGGTAAGGAATCAAAACCCGTTTGCGACCTCTGCCGCCTGCACACGCGACGGCTCCGCCCGGCCCGCCGCCCAGAGACCATTTCAAGAGTGGCCCCAAGCCACAGGGAGGGGACCGCCCCAGCAACGAGTCAACACTCCGGTGGTAACCGAGCCCTTGCTCACCTTATACACCTGTCCGTACGTCCCATTGCCAACGACCTCCACCAATTCGAAGATGCCGGCAGGTTCCTGCACGAGACAGATAAGGGCGCACAGATTATTATTCGCGTTGTTGAGGTCACCGTTTTTGCACGTTGCAATCGTAGAAATGTGCGCACCGTAGACGCAATTCAACCACCGGTCAGGGTCAACATCCACTGCTGGATGAAGGCCTTCCCCCCCAAGCCGTCGCCACCTCTCACGATCCCGCGATGCGACGGTCGACCCGGCGACCTGCTCCTTGACTACCGTCGGCGTTGAGTCCGGCGAGTTCCAACCTTTCGCTGCTCCTACATTGTTAATATTCACCACCTTCTGAGCGACATGTCCTGGGCCAAGCCCAATTGCGAATAGTTGTGGTGTCCTTCCACCGCACCTCCGATTCGCACGGTTGGCTACGTACGGTGAAAAAATAAGTTCAACGTACATACACGTACACGGACCCTCCCATGCTTTACAATGTACAGGCGTTACGAGTCTAACAACGATGCCCTTCATTTAGCCAATTAAGGCATCGCCGAAGCCTCGCGGTGCTGCATCGTGGTGGGTTGGGTCACTTGCGTTCATGTGTGTTTGTTTGGCTTGTGATAGTAAACCGGAAAAGCCAGAGAAAAACCGTGCACACGTATATTATTTTTGGGAAGTGGAGGGGTGGTTGGGTTCATACTGAAATTTCCACACAGATGGATTCAAGAACCCCAATGCTAGAATGCCATCTTCCTGGCCACCTCACGGCTCAACCCCGCAACGACTAGGGAATGGACCCAGGCAATTTCCCATCCAAGTACTGACCAGGATAAAAAAAAAAACTTTCAGCTTCAGATACCAGAAGAGGGTCACGACATGTCGTTTACCGGGACAGCCACACAGTGGCTTGTCACATGCTAGATCGGGGCGCGACAACCCACATAACAAGAGCAGACATTTTTCTTTTCATCGAATTCGGCAGTAAACATTAAAAACCCCTCAATACAGTGAGGGGAAAAAAAGTATTTGATCCCCTGCTGATTTTGTACGTTTGCCCACTGACAAAGAAATGATTAGTCTATAATTTTAATGGTAGGTTTATTTGAACAGTGAGAGACAGAATAACAACAACAAAATCCAGAAAAACGCATGTCAAAAATGTTATTAATTGATTTGCATTTTAGCAGGGGATCAAATACTTTTTTTCCCTCACTGTATATCAAGAGCCGCACTGCAACGTGGTGATGACGAGATGGTGGTGGGTCCTTAATAACGTCACGGGAAGCGGTCCTTAAAGAATCGGCACGCAGCTCCAAAGCTGCAGGTTGTCAACCCCTGCCCATGGTGAACTGGACTCCCATGGTGAACTGGACTCCCATGGTAAACTGGACTCCCATGGTCAACTGGACTCCTATGGTAAACTGGACTTCCATGGTAAACTGGACTTCCATGGTAAACTGTACTCCCAAGGTAAACTGGACTTCCATGGTAAACTGGACTTCCATGGTAAACTGTACTCCCAAGGTAAACTGTACTCCCATGGTAAACTGGACTTCCACGGTGAACTGAACTCCTATGGTAAACTGGACTTCCATGGTAAACTGGACTTCCACGGTAAACTGGACTCCTATGGTAAACTGGACTTCCATGGTAAACTGGACTTCCATGGTAAACTGTACTCCCAAGGTAAACTGGACTTCCATGGTAAACTGGACTTCCATGGTAAACTGTACTCCCAAGGTAAACTGTACTCCCATGGTAAACTGGACTTCCACGGTGAACTGAACTCCTATGGTAAACTGGACTTCCATGGTAAACTGGACTCCCATGGTGAACTGGACTCCCATGGTAAACTGTACTTCCATGGTAAACTGGACTTCCATCGTAAACTGTACTTCCATGGTCAACTGGACTTCCATGGTAAACTGGACTTCCACGGTGAACTGGGCTTCCATGGTAAACTGGACTTCCATCGTTAACTGGACTCCTATGGTAAACTGTACTCCCATGGTAAACTGGACTTCCACGGTAAACTGGACTTCCACGGTGAACTGAACTCCTATGGTAAACTGGACTTCCACGGTAAACTGGACTTCCACGGTGAACTGTACTCCCATGGTAAACTGGACTTCCACGGTAAACTGGACTTCCATGGTAAACTGGGCTCCCATGGTAAACTGGACTTCCATGGTCAACTGGACTTCCATGGTAAACTGGACTTCCATGGTAAACTGGACTTCCATGGTAAACTGGGCTCCCATGGTAAACTGGACTTCCATGGTCAACTGGACTTCCATGGTAAACTGGGCTCCCATGGTAAACTGGACTTCCATGGTAAACTGGACTTCCATGGTCAACTGGACTTCCATGGTCAACTGGACTTCCACGGTAAACTGGACTTCCATGGTGAACTGGGCTCCCATGGTAAACTGGACTTCCATGGTAAACTGGACATCCATGGTAAACTGGACTTCCACGGTTAACTGGGCTCCCATGGTGAACTGGACTCCCATGGTAAACTGTACTTCCATGGCAAACTGGACTTCCATCGTAAACTGTACTTCCATGGTCAACTGGACTTCCATGGTAAACTGGACTTCCATGGTAAACTGGACTTCCATGGTAAACTGTACTCCCATGGTAAACTGGACTTCCATGGTAAACTGGACTTCCATGGTAAACTGTACTCCCAAGGTAAACTGTACTCCCATGGTAAACTGGACTTCCATGGTAAACTGGACTTCCATCGTAAACTGGACTTCCATCGTAAACTGGACTTCCATGGTAAACTGGACTTCCATGGTAAACTGGACTTCCATGGTAAACTGGACTTCCATGGTAAACTGTACTCCCAAGGTAAACTGTACTCCCATGGTAAACTGGACTTCCATGGTAAACTGGACTTCCATGGTAAACTGGACTTCCATGGTAAACTGGACTTCCATGGTAAACTGGACTTCCATGGTAAACTGGACTTCCATGGTAAACTGTACTTCCATGGTCAACTGGACTTCCATGGTAAACTGTACTTCCATGGTCAACTGGACTTCCATGGTAAACTGGACTTCCATGGTCAACTGGACTTCCATGGTAAACTGGACTTCCACGGTGAACTGGGCTCCCATGGTGAACTGGACAGTGGATTTTGCCACACTGCCCTTGACGTCGACCTGCATGCTGTGTGCATGACGGCCGCCCATCCAATCACTAGCCACGCTCATGGCCTGCTTAGCTTCTGACATCGGACAAGATAGGGCACATTCCAGGAGATCTCCGATCATGGGATATTGCTCTTATCACACATTCACAATGCAGTGTCTGTATTGAAGTGGCTTAAACAACACTCGTTCTCTACGGCATGTATAGAGGCTTTTATAAAAAATATATATACAGTTACCGAGCAAAGGGTTAAAGGAACAACACTTCAAGCAGCTAGCAACAAACAGCACTGTCTTAGTGGTCATCGGATAAGAGTTGTAACACGTTTTTCTTGGGGAAAAGAGACGAAGGGAAGGAATTCCAAAGTGGGGCAGTGAGAGGACAAGACGCAGATTGAGAAGCATTGTGACCTGCAGTGTGGTGAGTGGATGGATGAGTAGGGTGAGTGAGCGAGTGGGTGAGTGAATGAGTGGGTGAGTGAATGAGTGGGTGAGTGGGTGAGTGAGCGAGTGGGTGAGTGAATGAGTGGGTGAGTGAGCGAGCGAGTGAATGAGTGGGTGAGTGAGCGAGTGAATGAGTGGGTGAGTGAATGAGTGGTGAGTGAGCCAGTGTGTTGTGACCAGCAGTGTGGTGAGTGGATGGATGAATGAGTGGGTGGGTGAGCGAGTGGGTGAGTGAATGAGTGGGTGAGTGAATGAGTGGGTGAGTGAATGAGTGGGTGAGTGGGTGAGTGAGCGAGTGGGTGAGTGAATGAGTGGGTGAGTGAGCGAGTGAATGAGTGGGTGAGTGAGCGAGTGAATGAGTGGGTGAGTGAATGAGTGGTGAGCGAGCCAGTGTGTTGTGACCAGCAGTGTGGTGAGTGGATGGATGAATGAGTGGGTGAGTGACCGAGTGGGTGAAGTGAGCGAGTGGGTGAGTGAATGAGTGGGTACGTGAATGAGTGGGTGAGTGGGTGAGTGAATGAGTGGGTGAGTGAATTAGTGGGTGAGTGAGCGAGTGAATGAGTGGGTGAGTGAGCGAGTGAATGAGTGGGTGAGTGAATGAGTGGTGAGCGAGCCAGTGTGTTGTGACCAGCAGTGTGGTGAGTGGATGGATGAATGAGTGGGTGAGTGACCAAGTGGGTGAGTGAGCGAGTGAATGAGTGGGCGAGTGAATGAGTGGGCGAGTGAATGAGTGGGCGAGTGAATGAGTGACTGAGTGGGTGAGTGAGCGAGTGAATGAGTGGGCGAGTGAATGAGTGGGCGAGTGAATGAGTGGGCGAGTGAATGAGTGACTGAGTGGGTGAGTGAGCGAGTGAATGAGTGGGCGAGTGAATGAGTGGGTGAGTGAGCGAGCCAGTGTAGTACAACCCAAGCGTGTACAACACTCCACGTGTACAGCACAGTACAGTGCACACGTGTACTGTAGGCAGACGCCAGAATGTACAGCACCAAAGACACTCGTTGACAATCCACACGTACCGTGTGCAGACTCCACCGTAGACACACACACAGTACAGACCACACACGTGTACACACACGTACTGTGTGCACTCTACCGTACACACAGTACAAACTACACACATGTACACACTTTGTGCAGACTATCACATACACACAGTACAGACCACACACATGTACACACATACTGTGTGTAGACCCTACCGTGTACACACAGTACAAACCACACACGTGTACACACACGTACTGTGTGCACTCTACCGTGTACACAGTACAAACTACACACATGTATACACTATGTGCAGAATATCACACACACAGTACAGACCACACACGTGTACACACTTTGTGCAATCTACCCTATACACACAGTACAGACCACACACGTACACACACGTACTGTGTGTACTCTACCGTGTACACAGTACAAACTACACACATGTACACACTTTGTGCAGACTATCACATACACACAGTACAGACCACACACGTGTCTACACACACACCGTGTGTAGACCCTACCGTGTACACAGTACAAACTACACACATGTACACACTATGTGCAGACTATCACATACACACAGTACAGACCACACACGTGTACACATACCGTGTACACACTGTAAAAACACGACACAAGCGGGTACTGCACATGTCAAGCACACACACACACACCATCTCATACAGTACACGGCGTGTCTAGAATACAGTGCGCACACACTAAGCACACACGTGGCAGCACTCCGACTGTAGGTCTCGTGTCTAAAGATTAAACAAGGACCCACTCTAACAATACGATCGGTGTTATCCGTAACGACGACGAGATATACCGGTGGTGGGTGGGTGTGTGGTAATGGATGAATCCTGATTGTCAATCCACCACTACGAGTCGTGGAATCATACGAATGGAATGGGTGATGGTGAGTGTGTGTTGCTGATGAACGATGGTCGTGGTGGTGATGATAACGCTGCTGCTGATGATGATAACGTTGATGCTATTCTCATGATGCTGCTGATGATGACCGCGATGTTGATGATCATCACGATGCTGCTGATAATGATGATGCTGATGATGATCATGATGCTGCTGATGATGATCACGATGCTGATGATCACGATGCTGATGATGATCATGATGCTGATGATGATCACGATGATGATGATCACGATGATGATGATCACGATGATGATGATGATCACGATGCTGATGATGATCACGATGATGATCACGATGCTGATGATGATCACGATGCTGATGATGATCACGATGATGATCACGATGCTGATGATGATCACGATGATGGTCACGATGCCGATGATGATCATGCTGATGATCATGGTGCTCATCATGATGATGATCATGATGATGATGCTGCTGATGATCATACTGCTGATGCTGATGCTACGCACCCTGAGCGCTGCCAGGTCGATGTCATCCAGGCTTCTCGCAGGGGCGCTCTCGCTCGCCATCGCTCCTCTCCTGCAGCTCTTCGCCTGCTGCTACTGCTGCTACTACAGCTGCTACTGCTACAGCTGCTGCTGCTACAGCTGCTGCTGCTTCAAGGGGTCAGAGTCTGCGAGCTCCTCTCTCAATCCTCTCCCTCGGGGCTGCGGACGCGCCGACCCGAGACGAGCACCGGCAGCTCGGAGGCGCATGCCGCTCCAGCGGCGCCGAGACTCCCTCCTCCTGCTGCTGCTGCTCCTCCTCCTCGTGCCCCTCCTCCTCCTGCTGCTGCCCCTCCTCCTGCTGCTGCCCCTCCTCCTGCTGCTGCCCCTCCTCCTGCTGCTGCCCCTCCTCCTGCTGCTGCTCCTGCTGCCCCTCCTCCTGCTGCTGCTCCTCCTCCTTCACCTCCTCCTCCTCCTGCTGCTGCTCCTCCTCCTGCTGCTCGTGCCCCTCCTCCTCCTGCTGCTGCTCCTCCTCGTGCTCCTCCTCGTGCTCCTCCTCGTGCTCCTCCTCGTGCTCCTCCTCGTGCTCCTCCTCGTGCTCCTCCTCGTGCTCCTCCTCGTGCTCCTCCTCGTGCTCCTCCTCGTGCTCCTCCTCGTGCTCCTCCTCGTGCTCCTCCTCGTGCTCCTCCTCGTGCTCCTCCTCGTGCTCCTCCTCGTGCTCCTCCTCGTGCTCCTCCTCCTGCTGCTCCTCCTGCTGCTCCTCCTGCTGCTCCTCCTCCTGCTGCTCCTGTTTGATGCTCACCAACTCGGAGCTCTTCACCCCCCACCCCCCCGCCGTTTCCTATCGTCCTCCCCTCCGATCCTCCTCCCTGCTGCTGCTGCTGCTGCTTGCTACTACTGCTGCTGCTCCCTGCTGCTGCTGCTCCTTGCTGCTGATGCTCCCTGCTGCTGATGCTCCCTGCTGCTGCTCCTTGCTGCTGCTGCTTGCTACTACTGCTACTACTGCTGCTGCTACTGCTACTACTGCTACTACTACTGCTGCTGCGCTCTGTTTCCCCGTGCTGCTCGCCGTTGTTCGCAGCTCCCACTGCCGCTCCCGATTTGATCCGCGATTCACAAAACCTCGTTCGCTCCTCCTCCTCCTTCACCTCCCTCCTCCCTCCTCCTCGCTCCTCCCTCCTCCTCCACCTCCCTCCTCCTTCACCTCCTCCTTCCCTCTTCGCTCCTCCCTCCTCCCTCCTCCTCCTCCTTCACCACCTCCTCCTCCTCCCTCCTCGCTCCTCCCTAGTCGCTATTGCTCCTCCCGCCGCGGCTCCGACTCCCCTCCCCTCATCACCACCCCCACATCTCCTCCTCCTCCCTGCTGCTCCTCCTCCTCCTCCCTGCTGCTGCTGCTGTTGTTGTTGATGTTGTTGATGCTGCGGTCTATACACAGACTGCTGCTGCTGCTCCTGTTGTTGTTGATGTTGTTGTTGATGTTGTTGTTGGTGCTGCTGTCTATACACAGACTGCTGCTGCTGTTGTTGTTGATGTTGTTGGTGATGTTGTTGTTGGTGCTGCTGCTGCTGCCCGGCTGCTCGTCTGAGCAATGACCGCTCCTGTTGCTGCTGCTGCCCCCTGCTGCTGCTGCCTCCTCGGCTGCTCCTCTGAGCAATGACCGCTCCTGCTGCGGCTGCTGCAGCTGCTGCGTCTCGGCAATGACCGCTCCTGTTGCTTCTTCTGCTATCACTGCTGCAGCTGCTGCGTCTCGGCAATGACCGCTCCTGTTGCTTCTTCTGCTCTCACTGCTGCAGCTGCAGCTCCTGCTGCTGCTGCCCGGCGCTGCTGCTGCTGCGACTACTCCCACAGCAGCACAAAGGCCTCGCCCCGCCGCCGCGATGCATGCCGGGATACCCACGTGGGCTCGTCCATCGAGGGGGGGGGGTGACAGGGACCCCCCCCCCCCCCCGGACTGAACCATTGATGAGACCTGCCGGGGGGGGGTGACAGGGACCCCCCCCCCCCGGACTGAACCATTGATGAGACCTGCCGGGAGGGGGGTGACAGGGACCCCCCCCCCGGACTGAACCATTGATGAGACCTGCCGGGGGGGGGGGGTGACAGGGACCCCCCCCCCCCGGACTGTACCATTGTTGAGACCTGCCAGGGGGGGGGGGTGACAGGGACCCCCCCCCCCTGACTGAACCATTGATGAGACCTGCCAAGGGGGGGGGGGAGTGACAGGGACCCCCCCCCCAGACTGTACCATTGATGAAACCTGCCAGGGGGGGGGCTGACAGGGACCCCCCCCCCCAGACTGTACCATTGATGAGACCTGCCAGGGGGGGGGTGACAGGGACCCCCCCCCCCCCAGACTGTACCATTGATGAGACCTGCCAAGGGGGGGTGACAGGGACCCCCCCCCCCCCAGACTGTACCATTGATGAGACCTGCCAGGGGGGGGGGGTGACAGGGACCCCCCCCCCCCCGGACTGAACCATTGATGAGACCTGCCGGGGGGGGGGGTGACAGGGACCCCCCCCCGGACTGAACCATTGATGAGACCTGCCAGGGGGGGGGTGACAGGGACCCCCCGGACTGAACCATTGATGAGACCTGCCAGGGGGGGGGTGACAGGGACCCCCCCCCCCCCGGACTGAACCATTGATGAGACCTGCCGGGGGGGGGGGGTGACAGGAACCCCCCCCCGGACTGAACCATTGATGAGACCTGCCAGGGGAGGGGGGGTGACAGGGACCCCCCCCCCCCCGGACTGTACCATTGATGAGACCTGCCGGGGGAGGGGGGGTGACAGGGACCCCCCCCCTTCCCCGGACTGTACCATTGATGAGACCTGCCGGGGGAGGGGGGGTGACAGGGACCCCCCCCCCCCCCGGACTGTACCATTGATGAGACCTGCCAGGGGGGGTGGTGTGGGTGGGGTTTTATTTGGAATTGGTAGTGGAGGCGGGGGGGTTATTAAATCCTTTATATTAAGTTCACTTGCTTGCTTGCTTACGACCGTGCAAATCTTTCGGTCGTTTTTTAACCCACTTCCCGTGATCCAATCGAGCTGACATTTTGCACACAGACTCGTTGTGTGAGACAATTAATGTTCGTGAAATTTTTTCCAAAATTTTACACTGTTTAGGGAAAAAAATTAAATATTTAATTACCAATTGCCTAATGGTGGCAGACAATCATCTGACCCATAGGTGGCAGCCATCTCAAGCCAGAGGACGAGAGGACTCTAGCCGCCACGCATATAAAGGATTTATAGTGAAAAACTTTTGTTTTTACGGGTTATACTTATTTTTAATCCTAAATTATCATTATCGTGGGATATACAGCGTGTTTGAAAAAGATGAACCCGATTTGAAATCGATATATCTCGGCAACCACGAACCGCCCATGAATGAAACTCTTACCACTCGAAAGGGGCCGTCCATACATGACGTCACGCACCTATGGGGGGAGGGGGGGTCAGACATTCGTGACGATGTGTGACGATGGGGGGGTGGGGGGGGTTTGAGAAATGTGACGTCACATCAAAATGCGCAACTTTAAATAAATTTAGACAACACGTTCTACTTAATTAAATTGACTTTTTAATAAATGTTTTCTCCTACAACATCAGAGTTCAGCGCCACATTAAATACGCACTACAATGACAATAGTTTAAAGCGATTTGAAGCATGTTTTATTTTGGGGGGGGGGTGGGGGCAGAGCTTTGTGACGTCATATTTGAGGGGGGGTCTGACGATGGGGGGGGGGGGTCAAAAATCGTCCAAAATCGCGTGACGTCATTTATGGACGGCCCCTAATGGTTATCACACCGCCAGCCCAGCAATTGTAATAACAACACTAATAGTTATAACAACACTCCTACAACATCAGAGTGCAGCGCCACATTAAATACGCACTACAATGACAATAGTTGAAAGCGATTTGAAGCATGTTTTATTTTCAAAATGGAAATGTTTTTTTTGGGGGGGGGGGGGGGCAGAGCTTTGTGACGTCATATTTGAGGGTGGGGAGGGTTTGACTTTTTGTGACGCCATGTGCTCATCACTCACTCGTCGTGTGTGACCCCCCCCCCCACACTTTAATTATCATTCATCTCGACCGACGGCCCCACCATCCCTGCAAGCCACAACTTGCCCCGGCCATGCCCAGGCCACCACCACCACCCCCACCACCCCCACTCGCTTCGTGTTTAATTCGACTTAACAGCGTTGCGTTAACACCATTGGAACCTCATTTGGCAATTAAAAAAATGATAATTGTTATTTTACCCTTCTATCTGGCAACAAAACTGACACCTTTTGTTGCCAGATAGAAGGGTAAAAAAAACAATTCTCATATTTTTACTGGCAAAATGAGGTTCCAATGGTGTGAATGCTTAACGCGAGCTCTCATACTCTGATGGTGCATTGTCTTTGAGTTGTGCGCCTTTTAGCATCATCTGGTCCAACCCATGTGAGACTAGGCTCTAAGGAAAGCTGTCTCGGGTGTGGACCAATCAACTTCAAAGACAGTGCATACATTATCAGAGTTATATTTTTTGTTTGCATTATGGCTGCAGGTATTGTGGTCTATGCAAAGGTGTCAGTTTTGTTGCCAGATAGAAGGGTTAAAAACCAATTATCAGCGTTGCGTTAATTCACCGTTTCGTTCACCGATTCTCGTCTCTTGCAGTGTGATTTCACCTTTCAGGTGTTGTGGCATTCGATCAGAGGCGACGTTTCGTTATCGATTAATGGGCGTTAAAGATGCTGCGTTGGCAGCGGTGCAAAGGCACGATTAACAACACGAACAATAAAACGTCGAGTCATCGAGGCGTGCGTCTGTGTGGCGTTAAAATAAAAAAAATAGACGTTTCGGGTAATGGGCCTTCTGTGACATCCAACACCCCCCGATTAAATCAACTGTTGCAAAATCACGGTCACGATTGCTATATCACAACACTTACATGGACAATAATTGTGTCCATATTCCATCGAATAGAAGGGTTTTCTTCGGTCCCTTTCCAAGATAAAAGGGCATAAATTGTACTTAATTCTAGATTTGAAGCTTTCGTGACTGCAAGGATTCATACTCTTAGGTTTATTCGGTAAAGTCACGTAGGTGAAAAAGAAGTAAATAATAAAGTAATAGAAATTATAAAATAAATAAAATAATAAATCTGAAAAATGTTCCCCCTATTATTAACTCTATTATTTTATTATTTACTTACTTTTTTCCCTACGTGACTTTACCGAAAAAACCTAAGAGTACAAAATTGTACTCTTTAATTGTACAGCACTCTGCTGCCATGTGTCCAAACGTCCCCCACGTCCTGAAATCAGTACTGAGACTCAACGGAGGTTTTTCTGGATCTAATTAGATTTAATTTTACAGAAGATTTTATTCGAGGAGCGAGTTAACACGTTTCAGCAAGTGCGCAGGGATTGAGATGGGTGGAAGATATCTCTTAGGAGCCATTGAAGCCTTGTGAAATATTAAATTACCCATACAATTCCTCCACTATTGTTATTTTTCTTCTTGGTTCTTTCGGTAAAGTCACGTAGAAGGGAAATAATCAAAATTGTATAGTTTTATTTTTATTATTTTATTATTTCCCTTCTACGTGACTTTACCGAAAGAACCAAGAAGATGAATCCCTGCAGTCACGAAAGCTTTGACTCGAAATGTATTGTAATTTAATTGGGACTTCTATACATTTGATCATCAACCCTATAACACACACCAATGTTTCGTGCATAAAGCCCATAGCTGTCAACCCATACGGTTTACCCCGAATTCTTGTACAGAGAAATGTTGTTTTTAGGTCCATACTGCGTCCAGCCGTTTCAATACGGGCACAAATCCATGTTTTTTGTCTATTTGTTTGTGTTTCTTTCTTGCGATGTGACTTTGTAGGATGAACATTGAGATTTATAAGGGCACGGGGTGACCAATACGGTCTGAGTTGGTCTGTTATAAGGTAGGGCACTGATAAGGGTTCGACAGGTATGGGATCATCACCCTTTAACAGACACCACCAATATTACGTGCATAAAGCGTGAGCTTTCAACATTGCAACAACAATATTTATCCATAACCCCCCACCCACCGCACCCCACCCCACAAATCGATATTTAAAATCTTTCTTACGTAAAGTCAATTTGGAGGCCTCCTTCAGGAAGGAAGGGTTTGTGGTGGTGGGTGGGTGGTGGTTGTGGGTGGTGGTGGGTGGTGGTTATGATGGTGAGTGGGTGGGTGGTGGTGGGTGGTGGTTGTTGTGGTAGGTGGAGGTGGGTGGAGGTGGGTGGGTGGTTGTTGTGGTGGGTGGTTATGGTGGGTGGGTGGTTGTTGTGGTGGGTGGTGGATGCGGGTGGTGGTTGTTGGTGGGTGGTGGTTATAATTGTGGGTGGTGGTTATGGTGGTGAGTGGGTGGGTGGTGGATGGGTGGGTGGTTGTTGTGGTGGGTGGTGGTTGTTGTGGTGGGTGGGTGCTGTGGTTGTTGTGGTGGTGGGTGGTGGTTGTTGGTTATGGTGGTGAGTGGGTGGTGGTGGGTGGTGGTTGTTGCTGGGTGGTGGTTATGATGGCGAGTGGGTGGGTGGTGGTGAGTGGGTGGTGGTTGTTGTGGTGGGTGGTTGTTGTGGTGGGTGGTTGTTGTGGTGGGTGGGTGGAGGTGGGTGGGTGGAGGTTGGTGGTGGTTGTTGGTGGGTGGTGGTTGTTGTGGTGGGTGGGTGGTGGATGCGGGTGGTGGTTGTTGATGGGTGGTGGTTATGGTGGTGAGTGGGTGGTGGGTGATTGCTGTGGTTGTTGTGATGGGTGGGTGGTGGAGGTGGATGGTGGTTGTTGGTGGGTGGTGGTTATGATGGTGGGTGGTGGTTATGGTGGTAGGTGGGTGGGTGGTTGCTGTGGTTGTTGTGGTAGATGGTGGTTGTTGTGGTTATGGTGGTGAGTGGGTGGTGGGTGGTTGCTGTGGTTGTTGTGGTGTGGGTGGGTGGTGGTTATGGTGGTGAGTGGGTGGGTGGTGGATGCGTGGGTGGGTGGTTGTTATGGTGGGTGGTGGTTGTTGTGGTGGGTGGGTGCTGTGGTTGTTGTGGTGGTGGGTGGTGGTTGTTGGCTATGGTGGTGAGTGGGTGGTGGGTGGGTGCTGTGGTGGATGGTGGTAGTGGATGGTGGTTGTTGGTGGGTGGGTGGTTGCTGTGGTTGTTGTGGTGTGGTGGTTATGGTGGTGAGTGGGTTGGTGGGTAGTGGTTGTTGTGGTGGGTGGTTGTTGTGGTGGGTGGGGGTGAGTGGGTGTGTGGTGGTGTGTGGTGGTTGTTGTTGTGGGTGGTGGTGGTGGATGGTGGTTGTTGTGGTGTGGTGGTTATTGTGGTGAGTGGATGGTGGTGGGTGGTGGTTGTTGTGGTGGGTGGGTGGTGGTTGTTGGTTATGGTGTTGAGTGGGTGGGTGGTGGTTGTTGTGGTGGGTAGGGGTGAGTGGGTGGGTGTTGGTTATGGTGGTTGTTGTAGTGGTTGGTGGTTATGGTGGTGAGTGGATGGTGGTGGGTGGTGGTTGTTGGTTATGGTGTTGAGTGGTTGTTGTGGTGGGTGGGGGTGAGTGGGTGGGTGGTGGTTATGGTTGTTGTAGTGGGTGGTGGTTATAGTTGTTGTAATGGTTGTTGGTTACGGTGTTGAGTGAGTGGATGGGTGGTTGCTGTGGTTGTGCCTAGGTAACTAGCTTTAGAACATTCCCGGCATGCACCGCGCGCGTGCCCCCAGGCCTGCTGGGTAAATCCCACCATCAAGAAGAAGCAGCAACAACAGCAGCAGTAGCAGCAGCTGCTGCCCTCTCTCTTCCATCTCTCCCTGCACCCTCGTCACACACACACACATCTCGCCGTGTCGCCCTGCGCTGAGAGGTTCGAAGGCGGTGGAATGTCACGGTGATGCACCGGCGGCTTTGACGTGCGAAGGAGCTCGAACCGCGAAGGTAAAAAACAAACATCTTTCTGTCTTCCTCCTCCTCCATCCATCTCTCCCTCGTTCGTTCTTTCTTAGGGTGTCGGTCCCCTAAGCCTTTGCCTGGCGATGTGGAGAGGGGCCTTGCGGATAAGTTGTGAGAGAGAAGTGAGTGGTGGTTGTTGTTGTGTGGTGTTGTGTGGTGTGTTGGTGGTGGTGGCGCCGCGAACTCGGATTATACAACGCGTCTTCGCCGTTCGACAGGGAACGAAAGCGAATCGACGCTTCGTGGTGGTGTCAGGAGAAAGGTTTCATTCGGTTGCATGGTTGGGAAAGCGGCCTGCGTGTTGTTGTTGTTGTGTGTGTTGTTGTTGTGGTGAGCGGTGGATGGCTAGACTGTACACGAACCACGGCGTCCGTGCGCGGGGCTGCAAGGCGGTGTCAGGGCGCCCTCTGCGGGCGATGTCGGCGGCTTTGAGAAGTGAGAAGGCAAAAGCCGGAGCCGCCAAAGTTGCAACCCAAGCTATGGGCCATGTCGTAGACCCACAGAGACACATAGAGACACATAAAGACCCACAGAGACTCATAGAGACCCACAGGGACCCACAGAGAGATACTTTAAAGACAAGCCACGGTAGAGTGATTGTGGCCATTCAACTCGAGCTATGGACCACGGAGGAATCGACGAGCTATGAAGATTTTTTTTCACAGATGTCCAGTAGAAGCCCTCTCATTGTGGCCGGCAGACCTCGACATTGTACATTTAGCTCCTGAGCCATTTTGCTGCTGTAATCATGCGCAATAATAAAACGATGAATGCTGTCGTTACGCGTGTTTTGTGTTTTTGTTTAACCAGGAAAAAACTATCAATGACACAACAAGCGCAGATCCCGCGACCAACACTGCGCGTCTAGCAGTAGATTGATAATGGGTTGTACGTATGTTGAACTTCTTTCGCACCGTACGTAGCCAACCGTGCTAATCGGAGGTGCAGGGGGGGCAACAAATGAAACACTCAAAGTAGTCCTACAGAAATGAGTTTTAAATCTTGATTGAAAAAAATGACGTTGTGAGAATGAGAATCAATTTAACACCAGTGAACTCAAACACGTACACCCAGCTCTCAAGGCGAATTGATATTCTGACTACACAATCCGCAAAGCCAGCACTCCAACCGTGAGGAAGGAGCCATCTGAGGATCCAATCAAAACCATCACCTTGCCATACGCAGCAGGGGTAACCAAAAATATTTCCAAAATCATGAATAAACACAAGATCCAGGTCCGATTTAACACGGTACATAAAATTTGTGAACTGATCCCATCTGTGAAGGACAAGATTCCTGACATGCAATATCCCGGCGTCCACAAACTAAGCTGTGTCTGCGGCAGCAGTTACATTCGGGAAACTAAGCGACATGTCTCGGACCGTGTTCGTGAACATAAGGCAGATCTGAAACACAGTAGAACCAATACCTCGGCCATGGCTGATCATTGTTTTAATGCGGTGGGCTCGCACGAAATTGATTTCTCTACGACGAAGCTACTTTGCAAATCCACTGGCTATCAACAAAGATTCGTTCATGAAGCCATCCATATATACAGACACAGACACGATTTCAACGAGAGGATGGGTACAAATGAGCAATCATTGGAAGGACGTGATCAACCAGTTTAAGTCATAACTGGCTGTCATGTTCCCATCCGCCTATCTTCCAATGTTGGTTGTTATTTTCAGCTCTCAGATTTTACATTAATGGGTAAAATTTCTCACACCAACACAGCCACCTCCGTGCGGCGACCTCGCCGTGGAGGCCGCTCTCCAATCTTACATTAACATGCACATTTTTACCTGGCAGCCCATTAATTGGTGGAAACGCACCATCAGCGCTGTTGTTGACCATCACATTAATAGCTGCCCCGCCCATCCTGCTGACACTTGGGCAATGCCCATTTTAAACCTTTATCAACAGTTTGCCTTTAGAGGCTAACCCCCTTTTCCTGGTGACGACCGCTTGTTTTGCCATCGAAACGTCGTGGTTTAAATTTTTTTACTATTTTTCTATCTACGTGACTTTACCGAAAGAACCAAAGAATATTAACATGTAGGCTTTGGTAACCGGCATTATTCGTGAGATTTAAAAATAATTACTGGCGAAACGTCGTACTCGAATTGTAAACGTTGTGGGTTTATTCTCCAACACGCCAGTGTGCTGAACTAGTAACCAATTGTCATGTTTTATTTCCGTGACAAACCTTACTAATCGGCTGTGTCGGGTGGTTTAACGACACACATTTACGCAATCTAACCCAAACCCCCCCCCCCCCTCCCCCCGTCTGTTATGAATGAGAATCAACTTTGGTTAACGAACCAATGCACCGTATACACGCCTGCTATGTTGACCGCAGGCCTCGCAAGCGATGGCACAGGTCGGAGGAGAGAGGGTGCAGGGAGCCTCCTCGTTGGATCTAGATGATGCTGCCCTACCAGTACCCTCCATGCCTCCCGCGCTCGCTCGGGCCCTGGCCGCCCTCACAGCCGCCCTCTCCTTCATCGTCAGCTACGACGGCGCGTTCGTCTTCGACGACTCGGAGGCTGTGGTGGGCAACAAGGTGAGAAGCACCATTGGTACCTCATTTGCCAGTAAAAAATATAATTGTTTTTTTACCCTTTTATCTGGCAATAAAACTGACACCTTTTTTACGAGGAGTCATGTTTGCTCGTGTGTTGTGTAGCCTTAGGTTTTTTCGGTAAAGTCACGTAGGTAAAAAAATAAAATTTAAAATTACTAAAAGTCATCATAGAAATAAAATAAAATAATAAAATAAAATACTTTTATTTCTATTATGACTTTTAGTAATTTTTATTTTTATTTTTTTACCTACGTGACTTTTTCCGAAAAAAGCCTAACAGTATGAATCCTTGCAGTCACGAAAGCTTCAAATCTAGAATTGTTGTGTAGCCCTTAATTAACGGCTAAAGCCCTTAACCTCACCTCCGTCTCTGAGTGAGTCCGTCGCAAACCCTTCTACACTGCTTTCGTTGTTCGTGTTGTTGTTGATGTTGTTGTAACACTGCCGACCCGCCCCACCTACTACACATCTGTGAAAAAGAGCTTCATAGCTCATCGGTTTCCACGAGGATAAATAAAGATTCGGATTCTGCTCTTGACAGGACCTCAAGCCCGAGACCCCTCTGTCGGCGCTTTGGACAGACGACTTCTGGGGAGGGCGCCTAAGCAGCAACAGCAGCCACAAGTCGTACCGGCCCCTCACCGTGCTCACGTTCAGGTCGGTGTCACGCTCTAAGACGAGCGGTGTTCACCAGAGGTCGCAAACGGGTTTTGATTCCTTACCCGTACCCGTACCCGGCCTAACCAGGGTCACAAATGGGTACCCGTACCCTACCCGTACCCGTACCCTACCCGAAATGAGTGACAAACGGTTACTCACCAGTGACTCACGGCCTACCCGTACCCGGCCAGACCAGGGTCGCAAACGGCTACCCGTACCCGTACCCGGCCGGGTACGGGTAGCCGGGTATCGGGTAGGGTACGGGTATCGGGTACCCGGTTGCGACCTCTGGGATAAAGCCATGTTGCAGGCGCGGGTGGGTTGATTCTAGGAACTTGAATTATGAGAAGAGACAAGACGTTGGGAAATGAGTGACAAACGGTTACTCACCAGTGACTCACGGCCTACCCGTACCCGGCCGCACCAGGGTCGCAAACGGCTACCCGTACCCGGCCGGGTACGGGTAGCCGGGTATCAGGTAGGGTACGGGTATCGGGTACCCGGTTGCGACCTCTGGGATAAAGCCATGTTGCAGGCGCGGGTGGGTTGATTCTAGGAACTTGAATTATGAGAAGAGACAAGACGTTGGGAAATGAGTGACAAACGGTTACTCACCAGTGACTCACGGCCTACCCGTACCCGGCCGCACCAGGGTCGCAAACGGCTACCCGTACCCGGCCGGGTACGGGTATCCGGGTATCGGGTAGGGTACGGGTATCGGGTACCCGGTTGCGACCTCTGGTGTTCACGTTTCTGCTCGCCGCTGCTCGGGTGTGCATTGCACATCGTCCTCAGCCTGTCCACGCCGAAAGGTCGATTGCAAATCCTGCAGTTTCCCTGTTGCCCTGCTGCCATCCGGTGAAGTCGGAGATTATCACGGGTGGAAAAAACCCGATTTTTCCAGCGGCAGGCATCGGGTTTTTTCTTTAATACAATTAAAACCCGATTTCGGGGATTAAAACCTGGTTTAATGAATACGAAACTCTGATCCAAGGCTTAGGCTGCTTCCTCGTCGGTGCTGCTATCGTACTCGGGGGGGCCGTCGGGCACGGGGTAGTCGTAGAATGCGGCGGGCAGGTTGGTCTTGATGAACACGAGCTTTTCCTCCACAATCGTGGGCGCCAGTGAGTTCCTTGGCTTGGAATGGATGAAGCCCATCGTTGAGAAGTTGGCGAAGTGCGGTTCTGCAATTAGAACCAATTAAACCGGATATCTCCCAATCTCAGACGATCAGGTTTAATATAAAAAGACAATTAAACCCGATTGCAAAAAACCCGACTGTGCCACCCTTGGAGATTATCACCGTTCTTTTTCCGCCGCTCGCAAAGATGCCTTGAAAATGTATCGTAGACGGTGCCCTTTTCGGTGGACCGTGAAACTCCGTTTGCAACGAGCCAATGAATGGGCGGGAGGAACCGGGTCATTTTATGAGCCTATCGCTCATCACATCTAACGGGTGACGGCGCAGCCCCCGCAAGTGCTTGCTCTCACTCCGCCGATGGCAGAAAGGCCTTCGCGAGAGAAAGCTCTAGAGCAGTGGTTCCCAACCTTGTCGAGTGTGCCGGACCCCTTTTCAACCTCCAAACATTTCTCGGACCGCACACACGCTACTACGAGTAGCTGTTTGAGATTGTACATTTCCTTGATGAGGATGTTATTTTTCGATTTAAAGCTTTCGTGACTGCAGGGATTCATCTTCTTGGTTCTTTCGGTAAAGTCACGTAGAAGGGAAATAATAAAATAATAAAAATAAAACATTTATTTTGTTTTATTTTTATTATTTAATAATAATAACATCCTCATCTTCTTGGTTCTTTCGGTAAGTCACGTAGAAGGGAAATAATAAAATAATAAAAATAAAACATAATATTTTATTATGTTATTATGTTTTATTTTTATTATTTTATTATTTATATTTTATTATGTTTTATTTTTATTATTTTATTATTTCCCTTCTACGTGACTACCGAAAGAACCAAGAAGATTAGGATGTTATTATTATTTTTCTTCTCCACGGATCCCCCTGTAGTAGTAGCAGTAGTGGCCTCGCGGATCGCCAGGCGTTGCGCGGACCGCAGGTTGGGAACCGCTGCTCCCGAAGAGCTTTTCTAGAGGGAATTTTTGCCCTACTCTTCCATTTCTGGCCCCCGACGTCTTGGAATAGGTGGTAGTCATTTTCTTGGTTCTTTCGGTAAAGTCAAGTAGAAGGGAAATAATAAAATAATACAAATTAAACATAATAAAATACAATTCTCATGACGTTTCGGCCACAACGCAAGCAGCCGTTCTCAGGTGAAGAACAGGTCTGTCGGAAAGACAGCGTCTCAATGAACACCACCAAGCTTGGCAGCGTATATTTAAGCTGCTGGGTTAGAGGAGGAAGGGTGCCTTGACAAACGCATTTGCATATCAACAGAGGAATTTAGCATATTCATGGAAAATGCAGATATGGCGTTAGTCACTACTTGTGGAATGCGTAGGAGGTGGGGGGGGGGTCAAAGTCATATTATGCCTGTGCATTATGTAGGATTAGCAGCAACAAAGGGAGGAAGTAGGGTTAGCAGTAATAAAGGGAAGGAATTTTAATAGTAAGGAGCTGCAGCAGCCTAACCAGAGGTGGGAGTGTGCCCGCATGCTATCCCACCGCACGCGATGGTGGCGATTTACGAGTTGCCTGAAATCTTTTTGTTTTCTAATTTGGTTTGATTGCATTGCCTGTGAATATTGACAAGTCCGTTAGATTTTGGGAGACCGGCGACACATTTTGTTGCACACTTTCTGCTCGCCCCCTTGGTCAAGCTCGTCCAAGCTGTGGTGACTCACCGTTACTGCGAGAGCGGTTGACAGCTGTAGTCCCGGCTGACTATGCCTACTACACTTGGCATCGCACTCCTCCCCCCGGTGTGAATTAGGTGCTGGTGGTACACGAGCATTTCCTTAATTCATTCTGTGTTCTGTTCACCCGAGAGGTTTGAAAGAACATTTCACCCCTACTTATAAACAGCTGTTGGGTATTAAACACACTCTCAGCCAACCCTCCTGGAAAATATATATCAGGCTGCACAGTGTACCTGCTGTTTTAGTGTTGTGGATTTTAATGTTTCGCAGAGATATGGTGTGTGTGTGTGATGTACAAGTTCTATCGGGTATTGAAAAGTTTCTACTTCAGTAATTTCACTGTGAAAATATCAGGCCAAACAACTTGGTCACAACACACAAAGACAAGGATCTCTGTGGTAGGCTAGATTGACTGTTGGGGTCAGTGTTTGTTGACAAACACCAATGAAGGCAGTCAGGACTCAAGGCCGCGTTTGTCTCCCCAGTGCGGATGTTGACACACCAGGTACTAAATTTCGATTGAAAGCTTTCGTGACTGCAGGGATTCATCTTCTTGGTTCTTTCGGTAAAGTCACGTAGAAGGGAAATAATACAATAATAAAAAGAAAACATAATAAAATACATATTCTTAGGTTTTTTTCGGTAAAGTCACGTAGGTAAAAAATTTAAATTAATAAAAGTAAAATAAAATAAAAAATCACGACGTTTCGGAGGCAACACAAGCTTCCGTCTTCAGGTGGAACCGTCACAGCACGATAGCTGTATCATATACAGCTATCGTGCTGTGAGAACTCTCACTTGATACAGCTGTCGTGCTGTGACGGTTCCACCTGAAGACGGAAGCTTGTGTTGCCTCCGAAACGTCGTGATATTTTTTATTTTTTTTACTTTTATTAATTTTAATTTTTTACCTATGTGACTTTACCGAAAAAAACAAAGAATATGAATCCTTGCAGTCACGAAAGCTTCAAATCTAGAAATTATAAAATACAATTCTCACGACGTTTCCGCCACAACGCAAGCAGCCGTCCTCAGGTGAAGAACAGGTCTGTCGGAAAGACAGCGTCTTAATGAACACCGCCAAGCTTGGCAGCGTATATTTAAGCTGCTGGGTTAGAGGGGGAAGGGCGCCTTGACAAAGGAATTTGCATATCAACAGAGGAATTGAGCATATTTATAGCAAATGCAGATATGGGATTAGTCACTACTTGTGGAATGCGTAGGAGGTGGGGGGGGGGTCTTAAAGTCATATTATGCCCGTGTATTATGTAGGATTAGCAGCAACAAAGGGAGGAAGTGGGGTTAGCAGTAATAAAGGGAATGAATTTTAATAGTAAGGAGCTGCAGCAGCCAAAGGTACTGATTTAAATACCTACTCGACGTAGGAGAAGCCCAGGACTGATGCTGTAAACACTCGCCACTGATGTTAGTCATGGAAAGTAATGGAACTTAGGTTGATAATTGTTTTTTTACCCTTTTATCTGGCAACAAAACTGACACCTTTTTACAAGGAGTCATGTTTGCGTCATCTGGTCCAACCCATGTGAGACTAGGCTCTAAGGAAAGCTGTCTCGGGTGTGGACCAATCAACTTTAAGGACAGTGCACATTATTAGAGTTATGTCTTTTGTTTGTATTATGACTGCAGGTATTTCGGTCTATGCAAACATGACTCCTTGTAAAAACGTGTCAGTTTTGTTGCCAGATAGAAGGGTAAAAAACCAATTATCATATTTTTACTGGCAAATGAGGTTCCCATGGAACTTAGGTTGTCGCGTTCAGAGGGCAGCACGCTACCCACTACTCCGCCGTAGACGTTTGAAAATGTAGGTTAAAGGAATTGTCTGAGTTTAAAAATACACAGATTGAATTCCCTTTCATTCCATCAATCACCGTGACGTTTTCGATAGACAGATTGCCTTTATATTTAAACTCAAATATTTATATTATGAATAAACTCGCGAAGGGCTCATAGAGACCATGAGTCAATTTTTTTTTTCACAAACCAGGGTGAACAAAAAAAACCCATCCAGGGAACCAATCTCGACGCGACACGAAACGCGACGCAAACATTTAAAAGAAAGTGAAAAATTAAACGTACATTAAAAAACCACACCAAACTACGCAACACATTCCACTTGACTGACCCTATACCCTCAC